AGCCTTTGCCTGGCGGCGCCTTGTGCTCCAGCTGCGACAACTGAGGAGCAAAGAGCGGCTCCCTGCTGGCTCCCTCCCTCCGTCCCGCCCCCGGTTACCCGTTCACCCTCCTGGAGCATCTGGGCTGCCTGGGCACGGCCAAGGCGTTATCCCACCCTGCTGGCCGCTGGGTCTGGGTCAGACCAGGGGGTCTGCCAGCGGCGAAGCCCTGCAGCCCCCCCAGTGCCACCTCCCCGGTCCGCGCAGGGAGCTCCTGGAGAGCCGGGCTGTCTGCAGCTGCCCGGGGTGAGGGACAGGAGACCCTCGTTCGGGCAGGTCTGAGACCTGACCCGCCAACGCTCCACGGTGCTGGTGACACCGGGAATCTCAGTACCCTGAAATCCAGGTGCCCGTCCCACAGCCCCGCTTGTGCCACCCTCCTCTGCGCGCCCAGCCACACACCTTTACCGACACCCCCACCTCCAGTCCCCATGAAAGAGCCTGGGGAGCCCCTGTGTCCCCACCGTCCCAGCCCGGGGCACCCGGGACCGCGGGGTGGGCGGCGGGAGGACCCTCCCGGGGCGCCGCTGCGGGATGCAGCTGCGGGATGCAGCACCGGGATGCGCCGCCGCGCTTCCCCCCTCCCACCCCGCGCGGGTGCGCGGCGCCGAGGGGGGGTTGGACCGCGGCGGCGCGCGCGCTGCCTTCATCCCCCCCCCCTCCCGCCGCCTTCCTCCTCCTCCTCCTCCTCCTCTTCCTCCTTCTTCTCCTCCTCCTCCTCTGGGAGCGCGCTCGCCCGGCCGGCAGCGAGAAGCCGGCGGGAGGATGCTGCAGACGGCGGCGGAGCCGGGCGGCTGGGCAGGTAGGGCGGGCGGGGGCGGCCGGGCTCCCGGTACCGGCGGGCCCGGGGCCGGGCTGCGGGCAGGGGAGTTGCAGCCGTAGGAAAGTTGTGGGAGCCGGGGGGATGCGCTGGAGGGGCCCCGGGAGCCGGGGAGCGGGGCCGGATGTTCGCCAGGGGCACACGCGGCTCCCCGCGCTCCATCCCGGCGGCGCCCGGCGGCGGGAGCGGCTGCAGCGGGGCGGGCGCGGTGGAACCCCGGCCCCGCTGAGCCCCCCGGAGGGGTCAGGGCAGGAGGGAAACTTCTTCAGCGGAACTTTACCGAGGCCCCGGCGCAGCCCCTCTCCGACGCGGGGTTGCGGTTCCCACGCCGAGCGGGACCCGTGTGGGTGCCGGTGACCCCGGCTCGTCCCCGGGACACCTGTGGGGTACCCGGAGTGAGACCCTCACTGTGTGCTGGGGTGCTGTGGCAGCACCTGGGCACGGGCGGTGTTGGCCCAGGTGTTGGGATGTGTGGCAAGGGCAGGGCAGTGGTGGTGGGGTGGTCCCTGGGCCCTGCTGTGCTGGTCGGGATGCACAGCACGCCCTGTGTGTCCCCTGGCTTGTCCCCAGGGTGCCCGGAGCTGTGTGTGCCCGTGCTGGGCTCGGGACACGGAGAGGTCTGTGCTGGGGATGGAGCAGAAGCTCTGGCTGCCTCCACGAGGACACTGCTCTTACGGAAAAGGTCCTTTACTGAGCTGTGCAAAAGCACTTTCTGTTGGCAATGGGGGCACTGGGTGCTGTGTCTCAGGGTGGGGGCAGTGGGGTGTCCCCTGGTCCAGGCAAGTGGAGGCAGCAGCAGGATCCTCACCCAGCGGATTGCCCGCTCTCCCCGGCCATTATCAGTGGACTTTGCTGTTAACTCGGAGCAGCAATGAGTTATGGTGGAAGCTTTTGAGGAGTTTGCGTGGGGGTGGGCAGGGCTGGGGCTCTGCTCTGCCCCAGAGCGAACCCCGTGGATCCCGGCACAGGGACGTGCCTGTGCCTGCCCTCGGCAGGGCGGTGAGCGCCGATCCCGCTGGATGGGCGTGTGGGAAAACAACGTCTTGGCACAAAGTGGCTGCAATTTGTTTTCAGAGCAAAGCTTTAAAGTGTTGCTTAAATAGAGGAGATGATTCGGTGTGAAGGTGGGGGTCTAGGGCCTGGCATTGGACTCATGGAGGCTCTAAGTGGCTTCCAGGCTGATTCACTAATGAGGAGGGATGGTACCTTGCTGCTGGAGCTGCCCCTGTGAGGGCTGGATATGTCCGTGGGTCACATGTAGTCTGGCAGCACCTCTGCCCTGTGGGGAGCAGTTTTGGGTGAAAATACGAGGCAGGAGCTGTCCCTGCACTGTTCAGCGCTGCTCACACATCAGCTTCACCCCCTGCTTGTCTGGGGTGTCCGAGTGGGGAGCAGAGAGGTTTGTGTGAGCTGCTGTGTTTGCATGTGGGGCACGGCGCCTGAAAATAGCATCAATGGGCAGTGCCGCTGTCTGTGACAGCCCGCGGATAAATGAGGCTCTGTCCCGGCTGCCAGCCTGGCTGGGAGTTTCTGCAGCCAACGCCAGCCAAATCCACCACCACCGACTTTTTTTTCCTTTAAGTACCTGCAGGTGTTTTCCGACGGAGCATCCAGCCCAGCGGCCTCGCTGAGTGATGTTTGTCACTCAGCTGGAATGGCTCCGTGGGTTGGAGGAACTGCCCTGGTCCCTCAGTAGCTGCTGGCGTGATTCTGCCAACCAGAAACTCTCCTGACATACGCAGAGTTCAGAGCCGGGTGATGATACCGTGTGCTCTGAGTTTTGTGCCTGCTCCATCATCTGCCACGTGCGCTGGAAAAAAAAAGACTGGTGTGACCCTGGATGTGGCTCCGTCTGTGAAAGCAGAGAGCCAGGCTCTGCGTTAGCAGGGCTGTGACGTCACACCAGGCTGTGACTTCCCACTGTGTGTCTTGTTCATGAGCATCCCTGAGCTCACATCGCGCTCGGCTGGGGCTCGGGAGCGGCTGCTCTCTCTGCCCCGGTGCTGTTTGGCTCCGGTGGAGCAGCAGCCTCTGTATGGATAAAGCAGGAGCTTCACTTAATAGTCCTGAGAATAAGAAATAGTTGTTGGGGCTGGTGGCTTGCTGGCCTCAGAGCCTCATCCCCTTTGCTGAACTGTCCTGGCTGTGGTAGGTGAGGGTTGGGGGCACAGCTGCTCGGGTGAGGAGGTGCCGTCCTGCTGGAGCATGTGCTACTGGTGGGCTCAGAGCAGCCATCCCATCCCATCCCATCCCATCCCATCCCATCCCATCCC